TTAACTTCTTTTAACTTCTTTTTATCATATCTTAAAAAAACTTCTTAAGCATTTTTGTGTTATGGCAACTCCATAATTACTTAAAAATCTATTTATTTCCGAACAATTTTCTTCTCTTATTGGTTGGTATATTTCTTTAAGTTTTAATCATTGAAATATAAGAAAATATTGCGAGATTGTTGTTTAACTTGAAATTGTTCTCAATAGTGGATACGAAGATTACTACCGAAGAAAATAGGTATTTCAAATTCAATAAACGTCAATAAAAAATTTATCTTGTATTTAATTGTTATTGCAGAACTACAATATATTATTTAAATATTTCAATCAAATAAAAAGAACAATAAACAATGGATTCGAAGAAAGATGGTGTACGTGACTTTTGCTTTTTTTGTTAAAAACAAATTTGATTAATATTATTTTAAATTTAAGGATAAAGATAACAACGATGATAAACCTTTTGATTCAAAGGAATATTTCGGCAATCGTACCGTGCCTATAAGGGGCCTTATTACGGAACTCACAGCATTATGTGACAGGGCGAGTGATAAAGAGGACCAGTCGTCAGAGGAATCAGCGTCGATTACTGATGAATCAGATAAGTCAAGTAAGCTATTAATTAATAGTGATGACTCTGATAGTGACGACCTTTTCATTGATTTGAACGAACATGGTCAGCAGATTATATTAATTGACGAAATGATTGTGGATTTAACCGATGATTCGAAAAATGATAATGCTTGTATAAGTTTGGACAAGGATATTAAGCAAGATGAATTAGATAGCCACCAGATCATATCGGAGGTTAAAATGATTGTGGATGTAAGCACTGCTTCTAAAAATGATATTGCATGCATAAATTTAGAAGAAGATGTTAAACAATACGAATCAGGTGAAGAACAGGTTGTATCGGATTATAATATGATTGTGGATCTAACCGGTGATTCTGAGAATGATGATGAATATACAAGTTTGGACGAGCATAAAGGAAAGCGATACAAATCAGATGGAGAAAAAAGGATTGACGTTTTAAATGATGCCGGTTATAAGAACATTCGCAATATATGTGCGGACGAAAATGTGAACGAAGTTGATAGGGTCAAAGAGGTCGAGTTCACCAATGACATCATTGAGGAAGATGAAGACATCATGAAGGACGAGGTTAATTAATATGAATAATAATAAAAGTTTTTTAAGTTCTGAAAACGCTATATATTATGTTTTCAATATGTATTCTAAATTATGATGTATTATTTTATTTCGAATAATAATAAACAACTAATTTAACCTCTAACTGCTTATATTTATCACTAATCATTTATAAAAACAATATTCATAAACACACGGTTTGACGAATAATTTAAGAATTCTTAAATAAATTCGGAATTCTCAATTAGTAAGAATATGTTTAAAGTTTTATATTCAATGGCTATCATTTAAAGATTAAGCCAACCGTAGAAAAGGGTGTAAAATACCAAAACTATCTTTTTATTATTTATTAAAACTATCTTATTATCTAAATGTGAAAAACCAAAGTCGATGCAATTAGTTTCAAATATATGGGACATTAAATTTTAAAACGATTATGTCGCAACATTTTTATTCAAGAATAACACAAGAATAATTAGAAAAGCTATGATGTTCGTTATGTTTGATAATGAAACTATATATAGTTTTTCGGAGAAGAGCAGATAACATTTAGTTAAAAACATTTTAATGTTAAAATACAATTAAAGGGACTAGTAAAAAGGATCACTATGAAATCTTGGTTCGGTCTACATAATCTTCAAAATAGACACAACAGCAAAATTAAACGACTGTTGACTGATAGAATCGGTGAGGCATAGAGAGTCACAACCGCGATATATTACCGTATGTAATAAATTCAACATATCTTAAGAAAGAATACGATACTTCACAGTAATGAACCTAAAATCTACTAATTTAAAGTAAATGGATCTTAAAGTGTTTTCGCATTCATTTAAATCTTTTGTATAATATAATTGTAAGAGTGATTTTAGTTTCCATATAACAATTCTACGAACAGTAATTCTTCAAAGAATTTTGGTTTGATTCTCCAACAATGCATTTTTTTTTGTAAACTTAATAGTTTAATTATCATTTCATTTAATTTGAATTCTTTATCTTCAATGCTGTCAAATGCATATAACATACGATGTTTGAACTGCTTTTCTTTTAGGTTATGCCAATGCGGGGCAAATGGCCATTGGTAAAAATCCAAAAACGTAGCTGTGATAACAGCACTAATTATGCAATAAATTATACTTGTCATAATAGTAACCTACCGTTTGCTGCCCATAACGAATAGAACAATTTGTCGCTAATAAATTTCCATTATTTTCGGGCTCATGCAGTCAAAAACTGACGAGGCAGACCTCTTCTGCATCTTGGAGGACAGCATGATATTCCACTTAATACATATCAAAGACAAAGATAAGGATTTGGCAATACTTTAAAGACAGATATTAGTTGTTCATGTACTTGCCTTGCAAATCAGTTCGCGATATAAATTTACCATGTACATTTAGTTTGCATTAAATAATTATATTTATTTCATTGTAATTCGCTGATATTGGCACACATTTTTAAATATAGATTAAATGATGAATAAGTATATGACGATTTTTGAGTAAACCGCACGTTCGTAATAAAATTTACATATTTTGTTAAACTGTTCTAATTTTTCTTATACTATAAATAAACTTTTGATATCAATACTTGACTCTGAATTATTAAGAAATAAGAATTCGGCGAGATTGATTATTTTGTCACAGAGTTTCTATGTGGTCATGGATATTTTCGAAAATATCTGTAAGGAATGCAAAAAGCAAAGCAGCCCAACTGTATATACGGCGGATCAGTCGAGGACAATGCTGCCCATACTTTCTCCAACTGCGAAAGATGGCATGGAAAAATAACACTACTTGCAAAATATGTAGGTAACTTTACAGTCAAAAATAAGGAAAATAATAATTTTCCCTTTTGCTACGGGAAAAGAAGAAAGGTCTAGACGCAAACTAATCTAAAACGAAGAGGAATTTGACAACTTCTCAATTCGGATCAGGAGTGGGAGTCTCGACACAGGTCTTACGAGAAGCATATGGCATGGTTCGCCAACTTATATGGGATCCGCCCTGAAATAATGCGAATGCGGTCCTGGGGGAGAAGTCCTGCAGGAAAATGGGAATAGGTCGGACACATCATTCATGCGACAATCGGTTTGACGATGGTTAAAGCATTCCTTCTCACTAAAAAAATAAAAATTAATAAATAAAATACAGATTTAAAGTTTAGCACAAGATTATTTATTTATACAAGTTTGGATGGAATAAAATATATTTGACAATGTATTTTGTATTTTACAATCATATAAATATATGGATATCTTACTATAAACATAATATTAGATTCTGAATTTGTGATTTATTTATATTAATTATATTTATTAATTTCTTAGTTTTCATTATGATATTTAAGCAAGTATTAAATAATATTATAATATTATTAATAATAATATTAATATCTGTGTTTACTATATTAGATATCAACTATGATTGACAAACGTAATTTTAATTTGATTAAATATAGTTGAATTATAAGTACTTAAAAAATTACTTCGTTTTCAATTAAATTAAAGTTATTGAAACTTCAATAAGTAAAAGATTTAACCAATTCAAAAAATATCGAATTATATTAAAAAATTTTAATTGTAGCGCAATAAAATTTAGTATAAAAGTATATAGTATTTATGATAAATAATATACAAAAAAGTTTTACTATATGTTTTAAAGTGGTTAATTATGCCACAGAATCTATAATATTTATATGGATTATTAGATATCATTTACAATCATTTGTCTCTGAAATTTAAAAAATTATACTGAAAATGCAAAGTACATCGTTCATTCACAAAACATATTCAAAGTTATAAATTCTTGAGATTAATATTATTTTTGATATAACTATAAAATTTTTCAAAAATGTTAAATTATTTTAAAATTCGTACTTATTTTCAAACATTCTTCTAATAATTTGATTGTAAATACTTGTGTATTTAGTATAACATTTTAATTGAATATACAATAGGCAAAGACGCAATGTAACTCCAGTATGGTTTATTCTTTCTTTGATTAATTACTAAATTAATTATTAATTAATTATTTATAAATTTAATATTTTTAATTATATTCCTAGATACTCTTATAAAAATGTAATTGTATTTTATATTTATATTTAAACATAATGAATTTAAATTATCTTTAAAATGCCAAGATAAAACTTGAACTTTAAGCCTTTTATAATTCAGCTTATCAATTAAACAGTATTTATTATTATAAGTATTTATATTTATATTATATTATTATTATATATATTGATTTATTTTATATTTTTCCAGACACCATTAAAAAAAATTAATTTTAGTTTATATGAATAGCTTAAAAAAATATTTAAATAATACATTTATTATGTATATCCGCAATTCATAATGTTTTTACGTTCGTTAAATATTTTTAATCATATTCTCAGACATAATTTCTTTATATTTTATATATATGTTAACACAATATCTTTGAAAAATATTTACTATGCTAACAGGCAATGCAATGTGAAGTTTAGTTCTTTTATATATTTACGTATATTATGAAATAATCTAATGACTTTTAATGAATATTTAAAACACTTAAAACCCCAATTTGGTTGAACATAGTAAAATGATATTTTAATACAGTCTTAAAATCTGTTGTTAAATTAAATTATACTTCTCACTAATTATTATTAATATAATCTTACAAAAATGTTTAGTATACCAATACGCGTTCATATTGTTGAACTTTAAGCCTTTTATGTATTTAGTAAAATAATTTTTTAAAAAATAAATATGTCAATATTTAATAATTCAAAATTTTTAGACATTTTTCCGCAAACCGTTATAAAAATTTGAATAAATGAATATGTGCACATTATAATAAAATATTTTAAAAGAATATTAAAAATGCTGATATTGATTGCAATTTAAACTATAAGTATTTTATGTATTGACTTACATTACAAAAATTATCAAATGATTTTTAAATGATTTTTATCATTTAAATTAATAAATATTTTACATTATCAATTCAAAACTTTTAATGGCATTCTCAGACACCTTTGTCAAAATTTAATTCTAATATACATGAATATCTTAATATAATGTTTTAAAAAGATATTCATATCCCTTACGATATTTTCATATTTTAATCTTTCAAGAAACTAATATATTTTATTATATATAAATTCGAAACTTCTAATTATTGTCTAAACACTCATATAAATATTTAATTGTATTTTACTTATATTTTAATATAACTTCTTATAAAAATTTTTAATAGGAAAGAGGCAAAACAATATGGACTGTAAGTTCTTAATGTATTAGCTTATATAAATACAAAAGTCAAATGATTTTTAAATATCTTTAAATCAATTATTTATCAATATTAAAAAATATGTGCATGTATAGTATAATATTTTAAAAGAATATTAAAAATGCTGATATTGATTGCAATTTAAACTATAAGTATTTTATGTATTGACTTACATTACAAAAATTATCAAATGATTTTTAAATGATTTTTATCATTTAAATTAATAAATATTTTACATTATCAATTCAAAACTTTTAATGGCATTCTCAGACACCTTTGTCAAAATTTAATTCTAATATACATGAATATCTTAATATAATGTTTTAAAAAGATATTCATATCCCTTACGATATTTTCATATTTTAATCTTTCAAGAAACTAATATATTTTATTATATATAAATTCGAAACTTCTAATTATTGTCTAAACACTCATATAAATATTTAATTGTATTTTACTTATATTTTAATATAACTTCTTATAAAAATTTTTAATAGGAAAGAGGCAAAACAATATGGACTGTAAGTTCTTAATGTATTAGCTTATATAAATACAAAAGTCAAATGATTTTTAAATATCTTTAAATCAATTATTTATCAATATTAAAAAATATGTGCATGTATAGTATAATATTTTAAAAGAATATTAAAAATGCTGATATGCATTGCAATTTAAACTATAAGTTTTTTATGTGTTGACTTATATTACAAAAATTATTAAATGATTTTTAAATGTCTTTTATCATTTAAATTAATATATATTTTAACATTATCAATTT